AAAAACAAAGTTTCAGATAATAGGAGAGGGCTTTGAATGTCAAATAATCAAGTGGCCATCAGAATCAGGTGAATATCAGGAAATGATTGTTAATAACAGTTAATTACTGACATCATTAGATCAGTCATATTTTATCATATTTCAAAAGATGATAAAAAAAAAAAAAATTTTAGTTGTTAATTACCTGGTGCAAAATTTAAATGCCAGGTAATTAACAACTAAATTTATTTATAATTTTTATATAACCTTATAGTTTAGAGTTAATTAAATTTACTAAAACAAATTATTTATAAAAAAAATAAAAACAACTTTGTTTTTTTTGCAATTTCCCCATATTATTTCCATTTCTATGCAATAATATTAGTCTTATGATTCTGCTCAGCTTTTTTTTTAATAAAAAAATTTGCTTTGTTTAATGGATGATGTGTTCACCATAGAGGTTTTCTTTAAAGGATTTAATTTATACGCAAGCTTGAGTTTTCCTTTTTTTAATTGGTGATTATAACAAAAATTTTTAGTTTTATTTTAAGAAGCGTTTTAGTTCTCAAACTTTTGACAAAATGAAAAATGTAACTAAATTTTGATCTAGTTTTTTTAAATATATACATTTATCAAAAAATCTTTTTCAACCTTTTCAATCCCAAAAATAATACTTTTGGTTTTTAGATTTTATTAGAGCAACTTGTTTTTAACAACCCACAGTGGTATTAACTTCTCTCTGTTAAACTAACAGAGTATTCTTAAGACAAAACATAGTTTAAAAAAAATTCTATCATTAATACTAAATTACCAAGTTATCATTGAAGTTCTTCTTTTTTAAAAAAAGTTTTTTTATACTTAATATATTAAAAAAGACAAATCCCAAAACCCAAACATTAAAATATACTTTAATTTTAACAACACCCAGAGAGCATGCATTGCCCAGGTTAAGTCTTTCAGACGTCTTACAGACATCTGGGCGTCCAGGAGACAACACATTTTACTTAAGTAAACTTTATCAACTTGTCTTACAGACAACAGGTTGTCTGTAAGATGTAATACTCAGCCCTTGAAATTAGAGTCAGTATTTGTCAATGCAGATCTAACTGTTGATCTAAAAATGTTTGAGGCAGAAGTGGAAAAAGTAAAAAAAAATTACTCAAGTAAAAGTACTGTTACTTAAGTGAAATTTTACTCAAGTACAAGTAAAAATTACTGGTCGAAAAGTTTACTCAATTAAAAGTAAAAAATAACTTATTAAAAATGTACTCAGAGTAAAAGTTACTGCGTTACTTTTTCAGTAACAAAGCTGTCAAATAAAAAAACAAAAATCACGTAGTTTATTCTTTTCTGTATAAATTTTTTTTTGAACAGAAACGTTTTTTTATGGCCGTAAAAAGTGAAAGAAACCAAGCTAAAGCAGTTAAAACCCATTATGAGCACGTTCAACATTTTTTTCTAAATAATTTAAAAGTTTTAAAACAATTTAAATTTTTATTCATATTTTTCCTTTCAGTAACTTCCAATTCTAGTTAGTGGTTACTTGCAACCTTGTTGGAAGCGAAGATATAAAAAAAAAATAATAATAAACTCCCCACTTAACTTGTTGTAACTTGCAGACTTGAAAGTAAATTTGTTAAAAAAAAATTTTTTTCGTATTAAAACATACTGAAACATTTATTAAGTTTTACAGTTTGATTTTCACTTAAAAATTGCATTGCATCAAGTTCTCCTTAACTTTGATGTACAGCATATCTTTCCGTGAAAAACGTCATTACATAGTTATAGAAATTTTCGTTTAACAACATGCCAGCGTGGCCGAGTGGATAGCGCACTTTGCTTCTGAACAAGGAAGCTCTGGTTCGAGTCCTACCATTGAAAACTTTTTTTTTTTAATTTTTTTTTACTATTTTAAAATACAAAATACTTTTGAAGTTTTATAGAGTGTTTATAAAAACATATGTAATGATATTATACACTTAAACGAACGAAAAGATTTTAAAAAACAAAATATTTTTAAAAACATCAAAACATCGAGAGAAAAAAATTGTTGCGTATGTGTCATGATTGAGATACTTATGTTAATAACGAGCTTAGGTAACTAGTCCTAATAAGCTGTGGATGGTCTAAAAAAAAATTTAACTTAATAAAAAAAAAAAAAAAATTAAAACAGTTCTGCTACTCCAGAAAGAGCTGCTGCTGCTGCTGCTGCTGCTGCAAAAAAAAAAAAAGCCTGTAGTTAGAAAATAAATTTAAAATTTATTTTGACAATAAATAGTTTTTTTTGCTACATTTATTTTTTTACAATAAATATATACTGCAGCTGTTTTTCAAAACGCCTTACTATGCTTATTACGTATTTCGAGAAAAACACAATTAAAAAGAAAATTATTAAATAGAGATGGTTAAGTGCAAACAATGTATAAATAAACTCTTTGTAAAATGTTTTTTTTTTTTAAATAATTCTAATGAATTTTTTCAGAACTTTTTGAAAATATGTATTTAATAAGGTTTGTAGACAAAACCAAAAAAACAAAGCTTATTTTGTAAAAAAGTCAAAAATGATATTTATCTTAAGGCGTTTTGAAAAATGGCTGCAGTATGGATGATACAACAAATATGTTGAAATGAGATAATTGGACACAAAATTTAAAAGTTCTTAACAAAAGCCACTAAACCAAAAGAATTGAAAGTAATTGCAGTTCAGTGCCTAAAATTTTAAGTATTAGTGTTTGCAAAGAAACATAAACGAAGAAACATTATTAAATTATTTTTTAATAAAACTAACTTATTTTAAACTTTGTTGAATAGACAGGTTTGGCGCCTAACCATCCCTATATAAACAATTTATATAAAAAAATATGTTATTTGTTTATATATATTGTTTATAAAATGTAAAAAATCCACTTATAAAACATTTTATTCAGGATCGTATGGAAAAAAAGTAAACTCTTCTAATAATTACAAGTCTTTTTTGCTCAAGCAGTTTTGTTTTGATGTTTAAGTAGGTTAAGTGATTAGTAGGTATGCTATATTTAAAATATATAATATTTAAAATATATTATATTTAAAAAAATTGACAAAATTGAAAAAACACAAAACATATTGACATCCAAGTGAAAAACTTGAAACTCCAATTTTAGATTTGTTAAAATTATGTCATCTTCTTATATCCGCCAAACCCGGTAATAAAAACAGCTTAACTGTAAGATTCAACGAATTTTTGAATTAATTTTACGATATGTGCGCCAACTCTCAAACGACTAAAATAATGTCTTTGTGGTTCATCTAATTAAATCCACCAAATCTGGTAATAAAAACAGATTAATAAAAAGATTTTTAAATTATCTGATTCTTGGATTATGGTATGAGCACCAAATGTACTCTAAAACGACTGAAAATATGCCATGCAATCTGTTCCTTTTCATATATCGTTTATCAAGCAATAAGTAAACTCTTTCTAATAAAAGTTTATTTATTTTGTTCTTTTTAAAGGTTTAATCTTAATTCAGAATTAACATAATTATTGTTTTTGACAAAAGAATAAAGATTTCAATTTTATTTTAGAAATGAGTAATCAAAATAAAGAAGGTTTGAATATTCTTTTTATCTATTTAATAATACTAAAGTTAATAGTTATAGTGCCCTTTCGAGTCTGTTTGATACAGACCTCTTGCATTGCGATACAGACCTTGCAATGGCTGCCAGCCATTACAATCGAGGTAAAGGGGAGAGAGAGTTGCAACAGAAAAACGTGAACAAAAGTGTATCTTTAAACAAAGGTGTATCTTTGAATGAAACTGTATGTTTAGTATATTTTTATTATTTATGCAAGTTTTTTAATAATAAATATGTAAAATCATGTTTTACATTTTAACTTGCATTGCGCCAACATCTTTTTAATTTTGATCTGTAGCATTCATTTTTGTTTTATGCAGCCTTTTTAAATAATTTAAAACTTAAGTTAAGTAAGTTGCAATATGGTAGAGGGTTTCCCGTGTCGACATGTCGACGAAGGTGAATATTGGAGTCCTATCATTGGAATTTTCTTTATTTTTTTTTAAATCTTTCATTGATTTTATTTAAAATACAGAATAAAAATCTTTAAAAAGAGAACTATGAAATTGTTTTGTGTTTTAAAAATTAAAAAAAAAAGCAAGCTTCCACGCAGCTTCTAAACATTTTTTGTACAAAGTAAGGAGGTTTGAATAAAATTTTTTCATTAAGAACATGACTTAAAATTTTGATTTTATATAAAATAAATCATTTTTATCAACTTAATTATTTTAAAAAATAATAAAAGTTAAAATTACTTATTTTAGGATAATAAAGTAATTTAAAGTTTCATAGCTATTTTACAACGCCTCCACTAAACATTCAAAACCAAGTGCTAAATGACAGAACTTAGATAACTATGAAAATAGTACCTTACATATTTCATTAGGTAAATCTAGGCATCTAACACTGTAAAGAGACAATTTTCTTTCTAAATTTTTTTAGTAGTAAATTCAGAATTTTTCATTCCAAAAAAATATATGTGGTAACAAGCTCTAAGTAAAGATGCGTATATAAACTTTCATTTTTGCTCATAATCTATTGTTCACTAAAAAAATATTAGGAGAAATATAGACAAAGTTAATGTGGAATAGAGTCTCTCTGTTTATGAGAAAAACAAACTATTTTATAAATCTATTATAAGATCCAATTCTATAAGATACTCTTATAAGATCCGGATACGCAAAAGATTCTGTCTGAAACCGCGCTTAAAGAAATTTTTTAGAAATTTTTAGATTATTTTATTTTACCAAATAATATTAAAGTTAAGATATGATTTGTGTGGAATAAATTAGTATAGAAATTGTCGCTTTGGTAAAAACCCGTATTTTACTGGTTAGAAAAATTAGGATATACACATAAAGAAAAAGAATAGAAAATGTCAGTGTGGAATAGACTTACAAAGACCCGTGTTTTTACAGGTCTGGTCAGGTGAAACTTTTTACACATTTCAAGCAGGTATTTAGACAGGTATCCGATTGGTGATTTATGCAACATAACGTTACCGTAACATTTAAAGTTTATTAAGGTTAATTATAATAGAAATTTTTATTTTTCATTGATTTAAGAAGGAAACAATAATGATAGTTTTTCTATGTGTATATAGCTTTTTTTCTACAGCTCGCTACAAAATATTGAAATAAGGAATAAGTATAGAAAAAGGCGATGTGGAATAAATTTATAATTTATGTAGAATAAATTTAAAAAAAAGCGATGTGGAATAAATTTACCAAGACCCATGTTTTACGGGTCGTGACAGCTATTATATCTATAAAATGAAAAAACTTTATAATTTTATTCTAAATTTTAGAAATCTTTTTTGCTAAATTATTATTTTTTTGTTATAAGTATATAAACATTATTATAAAAATGTCAAAGTTTATTACGCTGAAGAAAAGTCTTAAACCCCCTAAAACAAAACTGATGACAGCGCACAGAGCTATCAAATGAAATGCATTTAGTAGAAAAATCAATTTAATTATAAGTTTTTTATAAGCTCTATATATGCGGAAAAGGCTCACATGTTAAGTTTTTTACTCTTGAATGTTTTTTTCAGAATAAATTGTTTTACTAAAAAATATTGAATTAAATAAAGAATAGGTATATAAATGATTAGTGCAGAATATATATGGATAGAAATGTTAGGCTTGGTTAAGGCCCGTATTTAACGGATCCGGAAAGCTAGGATGTATAGGGAAAAGTAAAGAAAAGTTCAGTTTGAAATAGACTTACAATGACCCATATTTTTACAGGTTCGATCTCAGCTAGTATATATATATTGTTAAGTGATTTTCTACTAAGTTATAATTGCTCTGTTCTTTTAAGAACATTGAGCACTCTATTTTGTAGAATACATTTTTAATATATATATATATATATATATATATATATATATATATATATATATATATATATATATATATATATATATATATATATATATATATATATATATATATGTATATATATATATATATATATATATATATATATATATATATATATATATATATATATATATGCATATATATAATATAAAATAATATAATTTTAGGTGAACTGTAAATTGAAAAAAAAAGGAATGATACTTCATTCCAATTTTAACTGTTCAATTTATGATAGCTGGGACATAAGTCCTAAATAATATAATCTGGAATATACCTTACCTTGAGCTCTGACACACAAATGCCTTTTGAAAATCGTCTTTCCGATCCATACTGGGATTTTGTACTTGTTATTTGAAGCAAAACCATATCAGCCATTGTAATTATTATTCTAATAACATAAAAATTGAAAACTTACAGTGGAGTGTAAATTGAAAAACACATTTCAAATTAAAAAATTATATATATATATATATATATATATATATATATATATATATATATATATATATATATATATATATATATATATATGTATATATATATATATATATATATATATATATATATATTAATAATTAACAACTTTAATAATGACAATGATAAACATTTTTGCTGTTAACAAATTGACAAAATTTTAAAATGGTATATAAGTAGCAATGATATATTATATAAACTAGATGTCTAACTTGCGGGATATTATTGGACCAAAAGTAAAGCTTTTTTTTGTTTACCAATATATTCCGCTATTTGTAAAAAGAGCGGAATATATTGGTAACAATATATTCTGCTCTTTTTACAAAAGCACCTTCACTTTTTGGATCGAGGTTTGACATCTAGTTCATATAATATATCATTTATAAGTAGTATATGCAGGCAGTAGTATTATGACATTCTGAAGCCTACAAATTTATACTGTTGTAAATTTGATTGTCAAATTTGAATTGTTTTGCAAATACTAAAATTGAAATAGTTTCAAAAACAAAAAAAAGGAGTGGTGTCGTGAATAAATTGAATGATTAGTATCGAAAATAGAAAATAGAAAAATGTTGTAAAGGAGTTTAATGAACAGAACAAAAACAAAAAAATATTTTTAACTATAAATGCGTGTTTAGAAAACATGTCTGATGTTCTACCAATATAGTCTGCTGTTAGGGACTTCAGTATATACACCAACTATCCTATAGCCTGCTGCCACAAAGGAGTACTGCTACATAGACTGATGGTTTGGGCTTACGTAGCTATCTTTTCTTTCATTATTATTATTTTTTCTTTTTTTTCTGTAAAAGTTGTATGTTATAAAGGTAAGCAAAACGAGTAAGCAATTGCTGATATTTACTATTTGGGACACTATTCCTTTTTTTTTGTTTTTGACACTATTCATTAAATTCATTTGCCACACTATTTCTTTTTTGTGTGACATTAGGCCTTTTTTAATATATTCAACACTATTCTTAAGTTCATTTTTTGACACTATTCCTGTCACCCATTGCTATCTGTTCCTGAAATAATCCATCAAAGAGAGACAAAAAAGCATAAAATAAATTGAAAAAAAGTAACAAGTTTATGGCAAAAGAAATTAAATTTTCAACATTTATGAATTCAAGTCATACAGGCAAAACTGGATCAAGTGCTGAAGTGGTATGATAAATGTTTAAAATAAAGAAATTATTCGACTCTGAGGCAGAACTTTAAAAGATTCAGAAGCACAGTCCACAAGTACCAGCAAAAAATTACAGCAAAACTAAAACTGCAACCAAATTAGTAACATCTTCAAAGTTATCAACTAGCAAAGCAGCAACCACTTGTCAACAGTTATCTTAAGGGGTGATTGACATACAGACACCTTCAAAGTTTGGTATGTTCAGATCAGCTGTTAAAGAAGAAGGTAAACTTAAAAAAGAAATGAAGAAAACACCACATTTAAAAAGCTGGTTGCTGCACTTTGATGGTAAAGGTATTAGTCACCAAGAATATCAGAGCAGCTGTGCAACAGTTGTTAGAGGCGTTGTTTTAGAAGAGTGAGATCGAGGGTTCAAAATGAGCTCTTTTTGATTAATACAATTTATTGAAAAGTATAAAAAGTAGCAAACACTCTATTGAAAAAGTCCTTTGCTTAGTAATGGATAAAGAACTTGCAGAGATAAACAATATGTCACCCAATATTGAATATCTAACTATTAAAGACTTAAATTAAACAATGCAAGATGGAATTCCTGAGTAATACAAGCTCTTTTGGCATTTATTCTTCTACCAGAAAAAAGAGACTCACAACTTAACATTTGTAAACTTATCTCTTAAAGATGGGTGGATCATGAACAATAAATGTACAATGCAGATGATTATTGAAAGCTATATAGCATGGTCACAAAGCGTTAAACTAAGTATAAAAGTTTTGGAACCAGGAACCATTAAAACTGGAAATTCCCATAACAAATCAGTATGCAGAACGAGCAGTCAAGTGTCTTAAAAATTTTATTGAGATCTGTAAAAAGAAAGAAAACCTCTAGCTTAGATTTATTTTGTATAACTAAGCATAAAAATTGAAACGCTCTAATTTAACATTTTTTCAATTTATACAGTAGCTTTTTGTACTTATATCAAATCCGTTGCAAAATTAGCATCTGCTAAAGTTACATCTTTTTATTGAGCTCGACACTTTCTTACTCTGGATTCTATTTTCTATCTCTATAAATCTCAAATCTGGCCTTGTATGGAATACTGTTGCCATATCTGGGGCGGATCTTCTAATGATGCCCTTTCTCTTTTAGACAAGGTGCAAAAACGCATTGTAAACATAGTTGGACCTGCTCTTGTAGCCAACCTTCAACATCTGTCACATCGTCTCTTTCTCTTTTCTACAAATACTATAATGGGCACTGCTCGAAAGAGCTAGCATCTCTTGTGCCATCTACTAAAATTCATTCTCGTGTTACTCGTCATTCAATTAAGTCTCATCCTTTTTCTGTTACTGTTCCTAAGTGCTCCAAAAACTCTTATTCGTCTAGTTTTTTTCCTCAAACATCAGTTCTTTGGAATTCGCTTTCTTCTTCTTGCTTTCCTGATTCATACAACTTGCAATCTTTTAAGTCGTCTGTCAATCGTTATCTTGCTCTACAATCTTCATCTTTTCTCTTCCAGTAACTTCCAACACTAATTAGTTGAAAACGTATATATATATATATATATATATATATATATATATATATATATATATATATATATATATATATATATACATATATATATACATATATATATACATAGTATATATATTTACATATACACTATATATTTATATATTATAATACATATCATATATATACATGTGTATATATATATAATATTATAATATATATTATAATATCATATATATTATAATTTATTACATTATAATATATTTTATAATATCATTATAATATATATTATAATATCATATATATGTACACATGTATATTGATATTGTATATACACATGTAATACATGTGTATATACAATATCAATATACATGTATCAATATATCAATATCAATATACATGATGTATATATATGATATGTATTATAATATATAATATATATATATATATATATATATATATATATATATATATATATATATATATATATATATATATATATATATATATATTGCTTTATAGTTTTTTTCCAAAGAGTAATATATATTTATAAACATTTGTGTCGTCCTGGCCTTAGCCCTGTCCCAGCGTTATTTTGGCTCCGGCCGTGGTCATTGATCCTTTATATTGGCTCATTAGCCATGACAAAGACAACTTACCTAGAAGAAGAAAAACTATAATTTAATTATGGATATTGCTAGGTTGAGCTTGTAAGCCTAAGATGTTAGTTCTCCTAAAAATACTCAGTACTGATAATGGCTCATATGTTATGTTTATACAATCCTTGCGTACATACGGTTATTTAAAGCCCCCTCCACCTTTCTTGTTTAAATCTGTAAATTTTGTTTAAATGTCTATTTTTTCAGATTTTCGGTGGGCATAGATAAAAAAAAATAGTTTAAATTAGTTTTTTCAGCATTATTATTTTTCTTTTTACTTGTTTTA